GTCATCGAAACAATCTTTGCCATGCTGCCAAATAGCAAAGTAATCATCCATATATCTGACCAATAGTTTTTGAATTAAGAGTGACTCTTGTAAAAGCCGAACTTCCCATTGAGCCATGTAGTTATTAGCTAAAACTGGAGACAAACACGATCCCATGGCTAACCCTCCTGTTTGTTCGTATGATTTACCCTTAAGGATAAAATATCTACTATTCATTATTAAGTTCGTCAATCGCATGATTGACTCCTTGCTCATCCTATTTCCTGATATTATCTCTGGGTGTAGATCTAAGGTTAATCCTAATGCCTGTATGGCCCCACTTATCAGTACATTCGTGTAGATCGATACTACATCAAAACTTAATAGCAAATCTTAACGTTATATTGTTTGCTCGTCTATTAACTTTATAAAGTCATAAGAACACTTTATTGAAAATCTCGAAAAACCTTATATTAAATTTAATTTAACACAACGGAATCGTGATGTTTTATGCATCACACCACCTTTATTATTTACAATGATCCCAAGTGGGACCCCCTCTTTGTGGATTTTGGGAGAAAATATTCGTTAGGTCTAGCGTCACATTGGAGAAGTGCATTCTTTGTCCATTTCTCCAATTCTCTACTATTAACGCACTGTTGCAGGCAAGTCTTAAGTCTCGACTTAAGTGTTTCTGTAGAGCCCTTAGTTATAATTTTATACGTATCAACATCGGCTAAAACCAGCATCATCTATAGTGGTTTGGCTAATTAGCTTTCATTCTGGTCCTGCTACTTTTGCTCGAGTGTATGTATGTGTGTCTTAGTATCTATACCAATACCAGTCCTAAATCAGAGCTATCGGAAGGATAATCTCAGGCTTTGATCATCAAAGCCTAATAACCCACGAGAAAGCCCGGGCCGAGACAGTCAGTCCTACTTTACGAATATTAGACTATTGATTTAGGACTGGTATTGCGTATAGACGCCAACACACCCACTCGAGCAAAAGTAGCAAGAGACGACGACGGATTCCCCTTGACCTTCGAATCTCTTCACCCAACACTTTCACTCGAAATTGAAGTAAGCTCAACAATTATGAACCAAGGGAGTCCTCGAAACCCAACTTTTCTTCGCATAAAAGTAGCGAAGGGATTGACTTCACTCACCTTTGACGAGTTTGTAGCTTGGTGCGGATAATGGCAGCAATCGCCGATGCTGCGGACTATGATGTAGGCGAAACATCGAGAATGTACTAAGTCCATGGCCTGATGCTGGGCGTTATTATAACTACTATGACAGAGGACTTAGTACAAGGTAAGTTTTATTAAGCCGCCCTGACAACAAGACCAAGTCAACACACTTCTATAATTGTGACCCCTAAAACACTTGTGCCTTAGATCCTGCAATCTTATCTCATATGATTGCATCCCATTGTACGCGTGTTGCTTGCGTGCATTGCTATTGAAATGAGTGTGATGTAGGGTCAAAACCAAATTCCAGCATAATCAAGCCACCTCCTCTTTCTCGGTTGTACTTTTTGTTCCCTTCACAGCTCCAAGGCAATCCCCCTATATCTTACGGTGAAGCCAACTTTCGAATCCCTTCCGATTGGCTTTTCAAAAGAAATGAAAGGTACTCCAACACTACTCGAATACGCGTTTTCTTGTCCCTTTATACAAGGCTATGGTATTCTATAGGGTAGCATATAACCGAGCATATATTTATAGAGATTATTTTAGATTTACCAAACTGTTGAGTCAGACAGCCTAAGTCTTAATAGCAGCCTAAACATTCGATATCTGTTGAACTTACTTCTATTTCGAGTAAAGTGTCTGTTGAAGAGTTTCGAAGGTCGATTCCACCAGAAGACGACAGCGGATTCCTTCTGATCAGCTGTCGATTGGCTTTACTGGAATATTCATGTTGATGCTATTTCCGAGGTAATCTCCTTCGATTCCGGTGAAAACATGCTAAGCTTTCGTTCATCGTATGATGAACATCATCAGAGTAGGCTATCATCCTCACAACCAAATTCAAGCTAACGAGCCAAGAAAACTCTCCGGCTCATCCCCAAAAAGCTTCATAAATACTCTATATCTGAGTTCTTGGATGAGGTATAAAGTGATTTGGTTAGACCCAGTCATATGACAACTTCGGAGAATTTGAGTGTCATTCTCTATATGTGTATGTTCCTGTATTGGTTCGCATATGTACGAAACCAGTGGTGATGGCTCAAAGTCATTAGGACAGTAATGTCTGTTCTCGGGCATCAAGTTTTGATTACCACTATCTCCCCTTTTCTACATATATGTTATAACTATCACTCCGATTGCACAAAGTCGGACAGATGTCTGGTTATGTTATTGAGTATTTTTTGTCTTCATACTAAAACTACAGAGTAATGACTATGATTAGAACCAAGATAAGAAATGGGTGATTGAGTCGCCTCCTTTTTGCAGGCCGCTCACTATCCTCTCTATCCTTAAGTCTATTAATTACAAGTAATTTTTACTTATCTTCTTGCCAGTATTGCTTACATTTAATGTATTCCCTATTCGGTTTATTTCGATTGATTATCAAAACGAGTAGGTTTGCTGATTATAGTAGTTAAAAGAAAGATAAAAGAGGCCATTTAAATTAATAGGTTAGGAAATACGTTGAATATGAGGAATGGTGGTAAAAAATAGAGTAGGAACTACTTATGCTTGATTGATAGATTGAAGGAAAGAAAGCGTGTTGAGCCGCCGTCCAAAAGAAGGCGACTCAATTTGTCTGCTCGGTGATGATTGACACATTCACTATTACAATTTTTCCTTGCTTATTTAAATTTACTGTGGTGTGCCCGTTTGAGCGACTTTCACGAGAAGCCTCCACTCTACGCTGGCGTTCTCAACTCCCTTAACCCTTGTGCTGGGAATGTTGATTTGAGTCTTCAATATTGTTTCGCAGTCCTCCTTCCCTAGTTCTTATCAGTGTCTTCATCTTGCCCCATAGTATCCGTCTCCTATCTCGCTGGTTCAAGTATTTCAATCGACCTCTGCCACCTATCTGTGCTCCATGAGGCGTGACCCTGTGACTCGTTTTCTTGATCCCCAATCTTCCGTTACCTAGTGTCTTCACCGTATGATGCCCTTCTTTCTTTTGCCTCGTGTCCAATCTGTATAATGTGTTCCATTATTTCCCAACATTCTGCATCTATTTTCCTGCAGACCCTTTGATGATCCTTGAGTCATATGCTGATTTTTCTTCCTGCATCGAAAATATATTTATATTTGAAGACTCCGCATGTTATAAAGTAAACTCCCAAGCAATCCGATTTGTCCACCTAGTCAGGTTGCATGGATAAATATGTAAAGAGTGTTATTTTTTCCTTTGTGGTCACCATACTACAACTCGTCAAAAAGACGAGGGAAGCCGATCCTATGACCAAATGTCTGCTAAACAGTTGTGGTATCTCTCCATCTGTCTTGCGCTATTCACCTATCCTATATCCTCGTATCCCGCATTCAAAATATTTTTCCTTGCTTATTTAAATGTACTGTAGTGTGCCCTTTTGGGTGGCTTTCATGAGAATCCTCCACTTAACGCTGGCGTTCTCAACCATCTTCACCCTTATGCTGGAATTGTTTATCTGAGTCTTGCATATTGTTACGCAGTCCTCCTTCCCTAGGTCGTATCAGCGTCTCCCTCTTGCCCCGTAGTATCCGTCTCCTATCTCGCTGGTACAAGTATTTCATTCGACCCATGCTACCCCATCTGTGCTCCATGAGGC